AATTTTGAATAGCATTAATGCGTGATTTTAATGGAGTGAATGTGTTTCTTTCTATATTATGTCCTAAAAATTTCACTCGTGTTAAAAAAAAGTGTGATTTATCGGGGGCGGCCTTCAGATTTTCGTTCTGAAGAATTTTATGATAGTGCTCTAAAACTGTAAACATTTCTTCTTTTGTCTGTGATTGCATAAAAACATCTCCAAATTGGTGATTGCGTTTTTCTTGATTATTAGTGGTCTAAAAATTTTACTCATAAAAACTGAAAATGCTGCTGGTCCTATGGAAATTCCATAGAATAGGCGGTTGAATTCATATTGTTGATTTCCAATAACAAATTGTGTTAAACGTCGTGATTGTTCATCTAGTGGCAATTGATTGTATGCACTATTCATATCTGCGGTTGTAAAGTTTTTTCCGTTTATTTTTGTTAAGATAACTTGTATTGGTTCAATAGGCCAATTGCATTTCGATTCGTCAATTAGTGAATTGAGGTATCTAGCGTCTAAAACTATTTTTAATGATTCTCCTTTTCCTAGAATGATAACAGGGTTAATAAATGTGTTACCTTTTGGTTGTTCTTCTTTATTTACTGGTGAGATAATTTTGTTTTGTTCTAAAATATCAAGTAATCTATTTATTTTGTCGTGTATATGAATTGGTACTTTACTAGCTCTTTGTTTTTTGAAAACTGCGTCAGGTTTTAACGGGAGATGTAGTGATGAACTGATTTTCCCAACGTCAAATTTTGATGTTGCGTAGACTGTTGAATATTATAACAGTTGTTTTGCTAGTTTGTCAAATTCGATTTGTGTAATTTGTGAGTGTTCAAAATTAAACATCGTTAGAAATTGTTGTTGTTCTTTTGTGTAATTTGTTATATTGAACGTTGGTATAAAATATGGTGTTTTTGTGAAATAATCTGTGTTTCTCTTTTCATTGCTTATTATATTATTTATGGATAATTCTTCGTCAAGAATTGTGGATTGGCAAATATCTAATAATTGGAGTATATTATTTACGCGGTAGGCTACTTCATATATGGGTGAGATTGTAGCGTTTGTTTCGCAATATCCTAAAAATCCTAAGGGTAGTGTTACTTGGTACGGTGTATTGTTATACACGTGTAACGAAATCATGTCGGAATTCGTGTTTTTCAAATATTTTCTAGATGAGATCGTGATTTTGAAAAACTTGTGAATAGGCCTAAATTCAAAGTCTGACATAAAAATTTGTTGTTTATTTTGACTTTTATCATACTGGTGAACTTGTTTTATTGAAAAGTTATATATATTTGCTGATAATGGTTTCAGGTGTTTCCGTTGTTGGTTATAAATTGGATAAAATTTTGAGAAGAATGGTGGTTGTTTGTTTAATCTTTGAAAAAATGTTAGAGCTGTATTTTTTGTTTTTGTGTATTTATCTTTGATTAGTATTTTACTAGTTAAGATGTTGATTGTTGGTATATATTTTGATATAAATGGTATGCCAATAATATTGTGCTTAATATCAGTAATATGAAATATTTGTTTAAATGGTTTGTTTAGAATTTTATTTTGCTCCATTGTTCTTGTGGGGAGAAGGAATAATTGGAAGGAATAATTGGCCTTGTGCTGTTGCTAGTTTACTAGAGGTTGCAAGAGGCGTTAATTTTAGATGTAATGTTTTGATTTCATTCCATGTGGGAATATTAATTATCTTTGATTCTGCTCCTGAATCAATTAAAAAATCAATTTCAAGATCTGTTGGTTGAAATTTTTTGTTTCTTGGACTTTCTAAGAGAAATGGTATTGTCCAAATTTTTTCTCTGGGTTGTTCTTTTTGTATATTTTGATAAATATGATTTGTGTTTGAACATTTAGTTTTGTCTTTTTCATTGGGTTTAATTACCCTGTTAATTTCGTTTACTTTTTGTGTAGTTTGTGTAGTATCGATGGGTTCAAGATAATAATTGTGAAGGAGTTCCAATTGATTTTCATATATATGTGATGTAATAGGTTGTTCATATATGATAGGTTCATAGTCGTTTTCGACTGTTATCATATTCACGGAGATAGTATTTTCTGTATCACTTTCTGTATCTGATGATCCACAGTTTATTTGATTTAGTTGTAGTTCGTTACTTCCTGTGTCATCAATACCTGGGGGGTCTGATGTTGTTTCTTCATTTGACTGTACTTGATTAATATGTCTTTGATGTTTTGGTGTACTACTTCTGTATCGATGTTTAGAATTTTGAAGTCTGAAATTTTTTCTTGCTTGTGAAATTAAGTCTAAAGTATGTGTGAAATAATCTATTATAAACCATGCCAAAATTTTTTGTAAGTCATGTTTAGTGTGTTGTGAAACATCATCTCTAGTGAAATTTTCTTTGATTATATGTAGAAAAGTTGAAAATAATGCAATTTCATTTCGTACTTTTGTATGTTTGGATGTTTCAGTTGGTGAGATACTTTGAAATTCTGTTTTTTCTAATATAGAGATATAGGTATATATTATTGCAAAAATTTCATTAGTGAATATAGAGTTTGCTCTTTGTGAATTGTGATATTGTATGCTTTTGATATATTCTAGAAATACTTTCGAAAATTCTAATTCAAGATCGTCTGTTTGAATTACATATTTACGATGATTCGTATTTGGTGTGCTGAATTCTATGGTGTAGATTCCATATTGTTGTGTTAAGTTACATATGTCTTTTAAATAATGTTCAATGATTTGTCTTTTGATTTTTATATCTGGGAATTCTGCTTTGCATGGACTGATTCCGGGTTCAAACAAATTTACGAGTAAATTCTTGCAAAAATTATGCTGCCCTCTATTATCGGGTGCATCTATGAGGAAGGGGTAAACCTCTTTGTCATCTGGACTATCGTCACTTTGAGTGTGGCTCATTTTATCGTTTGATGACTGTTAATATATAACTATCAATGTGTCTAATTGGTTGATTCCAGTTATACAGGTGTACTGGTTTGTGTTTCTATTGCTTTTTTATTCTTCTTTTTCCTCTTTTTGATGAATTTGAAGTTGTTTCTGAATCGGAAAAATATAATTGATTGTGAATGGGACAATTTTTATCAATTGATTCTTTTAATTTGTAGAGTTCATCTAAACTGCTGATTTCTGATTCGGAAATTGCGTTTCTATTTTTTGAAAATCTTTTTCGTGTGATTTGTCTTTGTTTGTTTATAATTTTTCTTTTTATTGTTTGTCGTTTTGTTCTAATGTATCCAACTGTTTCTGTATGAGGTGTGATTACAAGATCGTATTTATTGTTATCTATCTCACAGTTGTGTAAAACGATTGTTTGCTTATTTCCTAGATTTTTGAATGACATAAGGTTTAGGATGAGGGATGCAAAAAGTTGTTAGGTATTTTTATTTTCTTAGACTGTTAGTCCTTACGATTTTTTGGTTAGCTTAACCTGGGTCTTTTTATTTAGGGTTGGAGAGAAAAGTATATCGATTCTGAAGAATGATTTTTTACTTTCTCGTGGCTAGTCTAAGCTAAGGTGTTAACTTACTTAATCTTACTTAGGGGTAGTGATTGTGTTCAAGGGTTGGAGAATAGTAAATCAATCCACAAGGTTCAGGTATAATTAGAACGCAAGTAGTTCGTTAGATACTATTTTAAACTTACTAAGTCTAAGATCTATCCTGGGTCTGGTAAGAAGAGGGTTCAAGTGAAGGATGAATAACCGGAGTTCTTCACTGTTTATCTTAATTTGAATGGTTAGTTTTATTAAAAAATTTATATTAATTTTGGGTCTTTTGGAAGGGTTGGATAGTGAATCGACGTTTGAGGTCGTTAGACACTTGCTTATTGGGTGAAGGAGAACAAAATTGTTCTTTTTGATCCAAGGATAGGCCTTGATGATCAGGTTTTAAATTTAGTGAAATAGAAAATTAATTAAGATCCAAGGATAAGCCTTGATGATCCGATTTTAAAATTAAGTGAATTTAAGTTTAAAATGTTTTAAATTTATTTAAGAAAAATTTTTTGTATTTCAATGATATTAGTGAGCTTATGATTGCTGTTATGTTTAGGTGATGAAGCTGGGACAACAGATGATTTATGATTACTAACAATTTATTGTCATGCTACTAATTTTTGTTTTCATTTTCAATAAATATTTTTCCAATATGTTTTATATAAGACTGCAGAAATTAAGAAAACGATCTGAGATCTTTTTATCAATCGTTATTGTATAATAATAAATTTGTTTAGCGCCTGAAATGATCATGAAGATTGACTTCAAAATTTTATGTTTGCAGATGAAAATCTAAATTCATTGCTAATAAGATTCTAAATATAAAAGTTTGTGTTGGCTTTTGCCGTACAATCATAAAACTATTTGGTAAGTTTCTACTTTGTCGTATGTCGTCTCTTGTTCGAGGTCTTCGTCCAATTGCGGGTAGTTCTATTATTGTTCGGAATATCGGCTCTGATCTATTGAGTCGTAGAGACATTTCGATTAAATTATTATCGTATAACATTTTGAAAATGTTTGTCTAAATTCTAATCTATTTTTGGTTAGTTCTAAGCTATTAAGGTCTTATTCGAGACTTATGGTCGCACCAGATGAGTTAGGACCGCTGTGGTTAACTCATAGAGTAATTTCGGATAGGGTACACCGACTGCTCGTCACGATATCTTATTTTCGGCCGGATAGATTCGTGCAACTTCTTAGTCTAATACCGATCCTAATCTTACTCTTATACTTTCTAGTCTCAGGGTGTTTAACTAGTCTCTGCTAGGCTCAATAGATCTAGGGTATACTGGTTTGTTGCGGCTGCTGAAGTTCTCTTGGAGAGGCAACTAATTTCTAAGTTAAATTCAAATCCCTCTGGTGCTGAAATTACAAGTAATTTCAGCACTTACAAATAAGTGGGTTGTTAGTTAGATGGATTATGATTGGTTAATATTAAATACTTTACAGTGGTAAAATATCCAATTTATCCAATCACAAAAAATAGTTTAGATCAGGTTCCAAAAACTTGACCTTAAACTCGTGTGTCTCTGTCTCTGTGTCAAATTCAGGCCACACATTGGGCTCATGTAGGACGTCTTGCATGTATGGCCTACCACTCGAGGTCATGCGCAGTCCTTTGCCATTGTTGAGGGGGAAGTTGAAAGATCCGAATTCGAAAGCCTCCTTGTAGGAGTGACCCCCTGGGATTAGGGGGAAGTATCCTCTAAATCGCAATCTGAGATTTAGCATTCAATATGATATTTTGGTCTCCCCCTCCCCCCATCCTCTTCCAACCCGACAAACAAAAAAATATTTTACTTTTATATTGCTTTCTAATGTTACATTGCGTATATACTCATTGAATAATTTCGAAGAAAAGACTGAAATTTAGAAACAGTATACTTAATTTATATGGATCTCTTTAACTATACCCCCCCCCCCTTTTGGTACCTAGCAACGAATATCCCCCCTATAAAGAAAGAAATCAATGGTTAAATTTTTTCAGAATTATATGGAAGGGGGATATAGCAGAAGTGATTCCTTTTCTTTTTATTTCTCACCATCTCTACTTGAATCATAAAATCTAGGTCAAAACTCACACACGCAGGTTTTGGGGTGGACGGAAGTCGATTAGTGTAATGTCTAGGGTGGAGGATACAAGAGGGGAGGGGAGGGGGTTCAATTTACCTTCTGACCTTGCACAGCTCAAATCATCAGTCTTGTCAGCTCCTCCGTTCTAATTTCTTACCGGTAATGATTAATATTAATGGAGTTGAATGTATGTTTAGCTATCGCCATCTTCTTTTCTGCTTCAAGTGCAAACAGTTTGTTAGTGAGGCGGAACAATTCATCTTCGTCGAAGCCTAAAATTCATCTTCGTCTATTTTTCAGACTTTTGCGGCTAATTTTAGACTCTCGCGAGTAACATTTAGACTGTAGTTCGACTAACTTTCAGACTATCGGACCTAATTCCCAGACTTTCGCGTCTAATTTCCAGACTGTTGTGGCTAGAGAGTAATTTAGTAGCAATAGCCTGAAATTTAGAATCAAAAGCCCGAGCATTAGTTGGGAAAATTCGGAAATAATTCGCGGGTTTAGGGAGGGGGGCGGCTTGGCGGACGCCCTCCCCCTCAGGGATTCGACCCCTTGCCTACCCAAAGGGTCCCCCCTTTGGTACTTTCTAAGAAATCCATTTTTGGCCGACCGACCCTAAAATTTTTCTAAAGGCGCCTTTGGCGCCAATATATACTAATTTTGAAGGGGAGCGCGCGCCAAAAAAAACGCGATTTTTTTTGTCAATTTTTTTTTTTTTAAATTGCCCAAAAACGGCCTTTTTGAGCTGTTTTTCAAAATTTTGCTTGCATAGTCTTTTTAATAATTTTTCAACATAGTTTTTTTAATAATTTTTAATATATGAAGAGAGCTCGAAAAGTCAATTTGGTCGACCTAAAAAATGTCGTCAAAATTTTTGACAATTTTTTGAAAATCCTCCCCCCCCCCTCGAGAAAATATTAGATCCACCCCTGGAGCTTGCTATGTATTCAAATGGTTTACATAGATTATACTATTTCTAGAAAAAAAAACATGTCATTTAAAGCATCCGAAAATTTACAAAAAAAGTCTCCAAAAAAGAATGAAGAAGAATAGCCAATCAATTTGCAAACTGCACAGCGCAGAATTTTCTGAACGTCGTTAAACTTTCAAGTAAATAAGAAGCTGAATTACGATCATCGACTCTTAGCAAGCAAAAATTTTAATAATTACCTCATGGCTATTACCTTTTGATTGCTTCTAACAACCACAATTTGAAGTTTTTTTATAGCAATGCGCAACTGTTGATCAATGGGCACTGCTCAACCATGTTATTCGAACATCATGACTGATTTTCCTGAATTGATTTTTAAAAGTGCGTGTAAAAGTATTATGGTTTGTTTATTTAACCTCTGATCTTAACTTACCATCGACCTTTAAGTTGTTAATTTATATACCTGCCAAAAGCGCAACGGCTTTTGGTAGACTCTGAATTGGACACTATCTTTTATGATACGTAACAAATCAATCGCAACCAATTCAATCTTTTAAACCTCTCTTAACTTAGATAGAATCCCCGTCTTTTATTTAGTCTTAAATAAAAGCCTACAATTTTAGTAGGAATCTTAATCATCCACAGTCTTAATCTATTCTTAGTTTAAGTCACTCTTTTACAACACGAGTGGTATCCTAATTTTTTAACATGGCGCAGTCAAATGAATCAAATCTACGCGGACTAGAGTTTTTTTGGAACAACTCATCATACGAAAATCAACATGACTGGGAAAGGTGGGCGGAAAAATTCCAACTGACAATTATTGCGAAAGACTCCGTAGACATCGAAGATGTAATTAACCCACCGATAAGAGATGAACTAATCTACCCTATGGCAGAACCACTGGACCCATCCGAGGATCAGACCCGTCGGGCCGAAAAAGAGGAACGTCATAGAGTAGCAGTACAAAATTACAACGAAGAATTAAAAAGGAGAAGGGCGGAAGATAACGCAAAATTCAACGGACTTCAAATAGGAGATATTGACAAGAAGCTCAAATCACAGCTATACCTAGCACTCGGGAAAGAAGGACAGAAATGCTTTTCTCATAAAAATCCTGGAAAAAAAATTCTGGATATTAATTTCGCAGAATTTTGGGAACTATTAAAAACGACTTTCACGATCACTACAAACCTAACATACGAAAGATTTAAATTTTTTGGCCGAAGACAGAAAGAACATGAGTCCTTAGAAAAATTCCATGAAATTCTTTCAGAACTAGCAAAAAATTGTAAACTGGGGGAACTCGAGTCAGAACTAGTAAGAGACATTTTCATAACCAACATGAGAAATGTCGAGATCCAAAAGAAACTATGCATTGAATACTTGACCCCAGAAAACGTACTATCTTACGTATTAGTTCACGAAAAAGGTACTAAAATTCGTCAACAGTATCTAAAATTCCCAACTTACAACCCAGGACCAAGATCACAATACGTGAAGAACGAACCAACATTAAACATAGTCGAAAATAACAAGTGCCGTAATTGCGGTCAGCAATTCAAAAAAGGACACCTATCCACATGCCCGGCTAGAGATAGAAACTGCAATACGTGCGGACGGAAAGGACATTTTGCTAAACACTGTAGGAGTTCAGCAAAAACTCAAACTAACATCGTCGACCAGAATCGGGTACCCCAAGAAAACGAAAATATCCGGGCCAACCCGCAGGAAAATCCCGAATTTGAGGTTAACCTAGACGACTTCTTAGTTCTATCCATCGACACAGATAACCAAATAAATGCCGTAGAAGACAAAATAGAGCGCGGAGTGAGAACAGTATTCAATCACGAAGGATTAGAATTGAAAAAGACACTAAAAGTAGCTCTGGGAAAATTCAACCCCTACTATACCGAGATCCAAATTGACTCTGCAAGCCCAGTTTCCTTCATGAAAAAAGACCTACTACACGAACTGAAGATACGAGACAGATTTGTAAAGCTAGAACCTGTGGACGAGATAACAAAGAAAGCATACCAGGGTTTCGGGAGTACGATCAATATTATTGGAAAAGTTCGAGTGAAAATCCAATCGAAAGGATGGGAGGCTAATGATCAAAAACTTTTTATCACAGAAGGGGCTGAAAGAAATCTACTAGGAAATGACATCCTACCAAATTTGGGTATTGTAGTATTTCAAAAACAACCTCCACCCAACGGGTCAAAGTCACGGGAAAACCAGAAAGTACCACCCATCGGGACAAATGTCAATCAAATAAAATTCGCATCCGACATCCAACAGGATCAAAACCAAGAGACATCATCCCAATGTGAGTTTAAACTATACATATCAAAGCACTTTCCAGACCTTATAAAAAGAACTGGTAGATCAAAAAACTACGTAGTTAATACTTATTTTAACGAGCCGATAAAACCGATACAGGTGAAAGGGAAACGTATCCCAATCCATCTTCTCCCCAAAGTCAAACTATGCATCGACCAATTATTAAGTGACGGACACATTGAAAAACTATCTAGATGCTCTGAAGATTGTTTTATTTCCCCTATCGTGATTACAGCAAAAAGGGATGGATCAATAAAACTAGCGTTGAACTCAAAACTACTAAACAAACAAATATTTCGCAATAGATATCAAATGCCGAATCTATTCGAACTAATTGACAACGTTGCAGTCACTATTAGCGGCCACGATCAAAGAAACATCTGGTTTTCGTCGATAGATCTAAAATACGCCTACAGCCAAATTCCGCTTTCGAAAAAGGCAAGTAATCAGTGTAATTTTAACATTGTGGGGGGAGAAGTAACGGGTTCATACCGTTTTAAAACCGGATTCTATGGACTAGGCGATATGCCCAATGAATTTCAACGTATAATGGACCGTTTGACGGAAAAACTACCAAATACTCATTGTTATCTTGACGACATCCTAATCGCCACCGTAGGTAGCGAGGAAGAACATAAAAAGCTAGTCATTAATGTGTTAAAAACGCTAGATGACGAGGGACTAGCCATAAAATGGGAAAAATGCACGTTTTTAACTCATAACATAGAATGGTTGGGATTTAGAATCGACGCAAAAGGGACGACACCATTAATACATAAATCTGACGCAATCAGAAACCTAAAAGAACCAAACTGTATTAAAGACATCAGATCCTTAATGGGATCGATTAACCAATTTAATAAATTCATACCAAACCTAGCGTCCCTATCAACACCCTTCAGAGAACTTATGCAAAAGAATAAACCATTTAAGTGGTCCACAGTACATACGGAAGCGTTTGAAAAAATCAAGAACGAAATTTGTAATACGGTGATGAACCACCATTTCGATGTAAAACTGAACACTCGGGTGAAATGCGACGCCTCACATTTAGGATTGGGTGCGTCAATCGAACAAGACCATTGGGGAAATTGGAAGACCGTAGCGTTCGCTAGCAGATTTTTGAATATCGCCGAATTAAAATACAGCACTAACGAACTCGAATTACTGGGATTAGTCTGGGCACTAGATCATTTCAAAAATTATCTACTGGGTAAACAATTCTCAATTTTAACAGATCACAAAGCCTTAATAGGAGCACTGAAAGACGATAAATACACTAAAACGGCCCAATCACGCCTCACCCGTTGGGCGGATAAACTATTACCGTTCGACTTTACCGTAGAACATTTACCCGGAAAAGATATGGGATTTGTCGATTATATATCCCGACACCCATCGGGTGAACCCGTACCAGTTTCTCTGGATGACGAGAAGTTCGTTATCGCTTCAGTAAACCAGATTAGTACACTCCTAGGCTTTGATCACCTTATGCCAAAAAATTCGTGGGCGCAAATAAGAAATCAATTTTCTCAACATTTCTTAGCACATGACGTCACTTCTTGCAATGCGATTAGCCAGTCAACAGATCATATGACCAGTCAAGAAATAGAACGTGATAAACGAATTGCTAATGCCGCTGAAACTTTCCAAGCGATATCTAACCATTCCAACATTTCAGTGTGTCAAAATTCTCACTCGCGTACAGAACTGTGTGACTCATCTTGCAAAACTAACGACTTTTTTAAGAATTTTAAAATCCTGAAAGAAATGGCAGAACAAATTGAATTTAACCAACAAAAAGAACTTACTACTAAAGAAAACACGGACGTTTTAACACCAAATACTAGTAACCCGTCGGACAAACCCGAGAATAGATCACCTAGCAAAAAGAAAACAGTTAACTTATTCCCTTTCTCTTGGCCGGAAATATTTGACTCTAAATTTATGTCCCTCTTATCGAAACAAGATCTAATTCTGAAAAAGATAATCAAG